TGCTATATCAGAACTTGTGCTCTTTACTTAGAAGCCTGGCAACCGAAAAGAAACTTTTTATTTATTTGTTTAATTTCGTTTCATTTTACGTTCTTGATTTTATTTAAAAAACAAAAACAAAAACAAAAATAATAACAACAACAGCAACAACCAGAGACAGACTAAAACGACAGCGTATAGCAGCTAAATCGTTGTTTGTTAGTTCAAAAACAAAACCAAAATTGTATATGAAAAAAAAATATTCAATTCAAATAAAAAACAAAAAACAACAACAATAAATACAAATTTATTTTTTTCTTTTTGTACTTGCTACAAGTGTACACAAAACGTCTGTGTTAAATAATTTTTTTATTTTATTTTTTTTTTTTGTATTTTTTTGTATTTGACACGAAGTACAATGTACAACGAGTAAGCGGCGTATGAGTGCCATATTGTATAGGTATATCACTGCAATAATGTATGCTGCTTAGCACACTACAAACACATACACATACACGCCAGTTAATGTTTAAACAATGTTCATATGCGCACACATATGACGAACATATTCATTTGTGCTCTGCATGTGCCTCAATCGCAAAGTGTGAGCTTTGAACAATGTTGCTCTCGCGCACACAAAATGCTCACTGAAAATGTATGCCTTACATGTGATCAAGCACAGTGGCCCATACAAAACACAAAATCATACAATTACATATACTCTCACACGATGCTACACACTATGCTACATAAAGAGTCGGTCATTTAATTGTGTCTAATGCTGTTTCTAATTTTCTTTTTGCTTTTGAATTTTCTTTTATTTATTAATTTTTTTTATTTCGTTTGTTTTTAGTTTTTTTTTTTCTAATGCTCAAAGTTCTAGCGTATCTCTTACCTTCCGTACAGCGAGCGGTGCGCGTATTTGATTTTAGAGATACGATTGCAGTGCTGTGTTTTATTTTTGCTTTCGCGCTTTTTTTCTTTATTTGTAAATGTATAACAAATGAAAGAAAAGTGTTTTTTTTTCATATTTACGGTTTTTTTATTTATAATTTATGTTATTACGTCAATGAAGTACACATTTGTATGTGTGAGGTATAAAAGCTAATAATGAGCACGATTTGCACAAATATTATTTTAGAAAATAATATTGAGTAATATTTTAGTTACTCAATTATTTATTTAAAGAAACATGCGCTTCTCACGACAAACAAACACACACACATATACAAATAAACTCTCAGTAAAATTCCGCATGAATTAAATACTCAACTCACGTGAGTACTCGTTAGGATCTCCGGCTATCCAAACAAAAGCCTCGTTAGTTAAGCTCAACTTGAGACGGACTTCGGCCGTCGTTGCACTTGACAAATATTTGCGTTATGCTAGATCCTTTGGGCTTTCTAATGGTTTTATATATTTTTGCTATTAAAATATTTATGATGCAATGCTCAAAAAGTTATTGCAACTCATGAATTTTATTTTTTAAAAATAAAATATTTCCGTCATTAGAATTTCGCTGTCAAATACGAACCACATGACAATTCATTCAACGTAGTTTATCTTTAAAATTAATAAATCAATTTTTTTTCTCTTTCGCCTTCAAATCTTTATGTTCAACTTAACAAATAACTAGTTTGATTATCTGCTTAGTCATTTCGATTATAATTAGAGACTTTTCAAGATAAATGGAAATTTACCAGCTAAGTTCCACAACAAATTATCTTAATTATTATTAGTTAAAAATTGGATTTCATTAAGATTTGTAAATAAAACTTAATTTTATAATATGTTTAAAACAAAACAATGCAATAATGGATATGGTTCACTAGAAGTATTTCTCTACCTCTCTCTCTCTCTCTCTCTCTCCGCTTCACACCCGGCAAACATGATGAGAAAGTGATATGGGTGTTTAATATGTTTGTAGAGCTTAAATGAATGTTTGTAGAGCAAATATTTGAGTCTGACAACAAAAGTAAGAGTTTTATTTATAAGTAACCAATTGGTCCAAAAATTTTCAATAATGATTTGAGTTGATTCTTTCACCAGATTAAAGATAAATAGCCAAATAAAACTTTTTATCCATAAAAACAAAAAACTAACGCTAACACATTTTCAGTTATTTTTTTGGTCCAAACTACCGGCTCCAAACCGGATTCATGCCACCCTTTGGGATCCTAATTTCAGGTGTAAGATTCAGGATAATAGACTAAAGACCTATCTATTTTGAGATTCGATGATGACATGGTTTCAGATATCACTTGGTGGGTTGGTTCACTTTCAGTTGAATAGGGAAGACGGCTTTGTTCGTACCCTGACCTCTAGTCTGCGTATGAACTTGTTTAACGTTATAAACTTATTTGTAGCATTTTGTTATCACAGCTAATATTTTTTTTCAAAAATAATTTTAGCTATTCAAATTTTACCCTTACCCGTACCCCACTGAATATATAGCAATAGTATCTTCTTTATCCATTATTATTCTACTAAGTATTATTAACTCAATAATGATCCAAAAGTAAATTTTTATTCACTTTCCGAAGCCTGTACCGCAATTATTCATTTGTCCTTTCAAAATTGGAATGTATTCTTTTTTTGTCGATATTTCATTACTCTTTGTTGCTTTATTGAATTTAACAGGAATAAGCGATTTAATAAAATATTTGGCAATACTCAAATTATTTGTTGTCTGTCAAACATTAAATATTATTCCACTGCATCATTTACTAATATATACATTGATATACATTTACATATATTATACATTGACTATCACACTATATATGAATATTTATCTACCACATATGAATTCATATCAATTACAAAGTAAACACCATCACTTCATTCATGCGTACAATCAATGCTTAACTGAGCTCATTTAAAATTATAGAAAATAACAGATGTCAAAGAGACTGTTAAGAGCATACATATTTTATATACCTATACTTATACATCAACTTTGTTCATATTTAACGAAATTAAACTGATCTCTAATATAAGGGTCTCAAATATATTTCAAATATTTCAAAAAATCAAAATCGAAATAAATATTTTCTTGCTTGAATTATAGATAACAATAACAAAATATATATGAATAAATTATTTTAATCTTACTAATGAATATTTCCTCTTTACATAATTATTTAATTGCTCTTACGTTTAAAAGATAAACTATAGTATTTTATAGCTCAAAGGTAAATTGCATAATGCAATATGCACGATAGCTGCAACTATAAAAAAAACTTACTTATCCGTATGCATCTATAGAAAACCGTCTAGCATCGGTTTAACGCTTAAACTTAATTCTAATTATCTCAGATACTCAAGTTTAGTAACTGCATAAATTACCCACTGATGTAACGAACTTGTAAAACATTTGTAATTATAATTATAAACAAATTAAATGAAATATTTTCGAACTAAAATAAAACTCGTTAATTAGATTCGTGTTTCTGATTTTCTATTTACTAAAAAATTCGTATATATGTCATTATTAAATTATGACAGGAACGTGTAATTTTAAACATATTCATCATAAACACAAAACAACTAAAGCAATTAGGCAAATTGCATAAATACGTGATAGTTAGAGTTATAGCTTTAATGAATATTTAAACAAAATTAAAATTCAAAAAAAAATTTTTAACAAAAATTTGTTATTATCACATCTATATTTACAATATAGATAATGAGTGTACTCAGATAATAGAAGACCAGTACGCAGTCTTAGTAGTCTTCTGATATGTAGTAGACAACCCTGTTGAAACTGTCTATTCTAATTATGTTTCCGTCATGCATTTAAGGAGCTGTTGCTCCATAGGTTATCTAGCTATGTTCTTGGATATAATTTCATAAATAAATCTACAATACCCAAGTTGAAGTTGGGTGCTATTATACATTGTGTAGATGAATGTCCTAAAAGAAGTGAAAACTTTGCAAAATCATCGCTATAAATTCAAAAAGTACTGGATGTACTAAACTAAATATTAATTTTAAAATGGTGTAGTGGTAATTTGATTGTGAGCTGAAGAATCTGATAGGAGGAACCACTCTGAAAGAAATAACTGTTTCTATTATGTATATATATCAACAAACCCCTAATTTTTCTTACATCCATGGGGTTGATTTCCGAAATCTGCCGCTTGTTTATAAAATTCTCTAATTATATTAGATTATAATGATATCTGAGATTTAGCTCTATTTAGATCCATTTTGTTTCTACATGAACCAGAGTTCGAAAACATTTTAAATATTATTTGGTAAAAGAAAACGTTATATTTCCCAATAGATAGCAAAGTATTATACACATACGACACACACTTTTCTCATTTTCCCCAGTTATGACCTACATTGCTGTAAGAAACCCCATTTAACATATTTACCATACCTAACTGACAGTGTTCCGAAACAATTTCACCACAAAACCTATATCTCTACGAGAGATCTCCTATTTATAAGGAGTGAAATTGCCTACACATCATTGATCTCTCTCAACTTCATTAGTTCAGATAGGAAGATTGCAGTAACAATTTCCATAATACATAAAATATTTGCAGATTCAGATATAAAGAAAGCGCTTAAAGCACTGGTTGTTTTCTAAATCATGGCTAGCCTATCCAGGGAACCGAAATTGTGAACAGCTTCAATATCTTGTTTCAATATCTTCTTTAACAGTAACTAAAGCCGTTAATATCTCTCCCCATTCGGAATATGAAACAATTCCTTAACGTTTCTCAGGTTATAGTAATTTGCCGTAATTGAGGGGGAAGTATTAGCTCAAAGTTAACAAAATTAAAATGTAAGAAAAATATTTATTAATGAAAAAAAAAAATTAATAACAAATAAAAAGGTAACATTTCATAATAGTTTTATCTCACTCTCTCCATTTTCATTCTCTCTCCCTTTCTCTTGAATCTTCTCTTGATCTTCCTTCTTTGATCTTTTTCTTTCTTTATTTCTTTCTTTATCTCCCTCATTCTTTCTCCTTCCCTTACTCTCTCTCTCTTTCTCTCTCTCTCTCTCAATTTAACTTTTTTTGTTTTGTTTAAGTGATCATTCCTACAACTAAATGAATATATATTTTTTATTATATATTAATTTATGTATTACAAACCTATTAGTATTATTATTGCTCTGCGTACATGTCCACCTTATTGCGAAACTCCTCATAGTACTCAGTCACAACACAATTAAAAGCTTTGAATGCACTGTCAAATGAAAAGTATCCAAAAAGCATATTTTTCTCGACAAATGTACCGATCTCATTTAAGATATCCTCAATGGTACTTTTAACAGCCTGTAAAACTGGTAAAAATTCTTCCCAATATTTTACGACTATTGGTATTTCTGCTAACATAACATTCTCAAGTATTGTTAATACATTACAAATAGCAGTGCGTAATATTTTGATAAAGTCAGTGGATAGTGTAAATATTTGCTTTGCTGAGACTGTAAGAAGCTTCTCTGACCACTTAAAAGCACGTGCTAAATTGCCTACTACAATATACCAGCTTTTCTCTGCATACGGCAATAGGCCAGTACCTTTCAGGAACTTCCCTGTTGCTGATTTTGCAAACACACCATTGCCGTTGATATCAGTATCGTATATTAGCGTAGCAGATATCAATATCAGTAAAACTATAATACCAATTATCCAGGTGCATTTCTTTTTCTTCGCTCCACTTTGAATACATGAAGTTCCGTCTAGAATCGTTATTCGTCCATATGGATCTTCATGACTGAAGGTAATTTGAATTGTAATTTTTTGGGACATTTTTAATTTACCTTCTTCTCTAAACTGGAATATTATTTCTTTCGTTTTTTAAATATTATAAAAATATTTTCATATATTGATATTCAGTTTTCTTAGCTGCTTTGTTAAGATTTTCAAACAATTTTAATTCTTTTCAATCTCATCTTAAACGACTACTATCTGGGTGCAAACCACGAAAATTTGTTAAATGGAAGAAAACATTGGATTTGAATAGAGAATTGCTCACTGATGCAAAGGCCAGCTTTAAAGGACTTGACAAATCATTGTTTACGAAAGGTGTAGAGTAATAGAATTGAGAGAGAGAATGAATTTTTTGTTAAAGAAGAATCCTCTCCACAATAATGTATTTTTATATGTTCCAACCGAAACTCTTTTACTAACCTGTAATAATTCAATCTAATCTAGGTTAGAATAGCAAATATTTTCTAATATACTCATAAGTTTTCTTTTTTATTTAGTTCATATCAAAAGTCTGTGCTATACTAGGACTACGGAATTATAACGTCATTACCAAAAATATTTACCAAAATTTTTTCTGGCATTATTTTATTTGAGATATAGAATTGTATATATGATTAGATACGAGTTTTCTTATGCATATGAATATTACCTTAAAATTATTTTTAGTTAGCATACATTATACTTAATATTATTTCGTCTATCTCTAATATTTGTGAAATATTATATTTGTATATTTCAGTTTTATTTATTTTTATTAGTCACATTGCTCCACAATATTTATCTCGCGTACAAGATAACACAAAATAATTAAAGCGGCACTCATGACTTAATTTAAGTGGCCTTTCGGTTTGTTTGGCATGTGCAAACAGCATACAAATTTGTTGATATATCAGATATATCTAGTTTTATCTAAGCAGAGCACAGCGAAAGATAAACAAACACAAAAATTGTAATTCTCGTGCTTGTGGATTAACACTAGAATTGTGTACTCATTTTTTATTTTTCGAGATTTTTGCTTCAAGAAACTTCAAGAAAAAACTGAAAACCTTTAGAAAAATGAAATATGTAACACATGGACAGTCATATAACTATTTTGGTACACTAAAAATAAAATACGGATATTACATACTACGTACATGCATACAACTAACATACATATGTATGAACTACATAATTTTTGACCAATGCTGTATTTATGAAATTTGAGCAATGATGTTAGATATTCGACACTATCCAAAATTACTGTATAGTCAGTCTTAAATGTGTTTTTCCTATCATAATTGTCGGTAATATTTTCCAGCTAAAAAACATACAATATATTACAAACTAAATTAGTTATGTGTTTACACTTTGTATTTAAAAAACCTCGCTTAGAGATAATTGCCCAAGGGCTTTTAGTACACTGAAAAAACTTCTTATAAAATGCTTTACAGGCTAAGTTCATGGCATGTAAATACTTTACATAGTAAACCTTACTTTACAGTAATTGTAGAAACGTTTTTAGTGCATTTAAAATACTTCTTATACAATTATTTACATACTAAATTCATAGCATGTTTACACTTCACACTTTTGATAAACCTCAATTAACGGTAATTGCACATGTGTGTTCAGCATGTACTGTAATTCAATTAGCGAACAATGAAACAAAATCAAAAACGAAAAATAGTAGCTTATAAAATAGTATGTATAATATAAAAGAGTAACGTTAAAAAAATAAACTTAATATAACTAAATCATTAAAAATTAAATATTATGTATGTTAAAATTAAATTAAACTTAAGTTCAGATAACACGTTATTCTAATATTATTCTAATATTCTAATATTTCCTAAAATTTGTTGTTTTTTTTTTTTAATTTTCTTTTCAGTGTAGTCCGCAGTCATATTGTTTGTTTAATTTTATCACAACTTCCATATGTGGTTGCCACATTATAATGTTTCAAGTCAGTATTCTGCTAATTAATATACTACCACTTACACATGTGGTAGAAGTGTTATATGTGGTATATTGCAATTTGAGGAGTTACTGTTTAATTGTGCTATTAAGACTCCATTATCACGGAACTTTTTTGTATGGAAAATGCGACTAAGCACTACATAAAAGCTGAATTAATTGCAACACAATTAACTAGTTAATTGCAAAATACAATTAAATGGTATATGTAAATGGCAAATGATATAGTTGAAATGCACAATGTTTCACTATAGTTTATATATATTTTACATAACCACTTAGCTAAAAAGTATCTTCAAACTAATTATTTCAAATTTATTAAAGAATAAAGAGATCAAATAACGATTATTATATTTATAATTTATAATCATTGCAACTATTAAAATTGAATTTTTTTTCGTATTTTAATATTATTTTACATGTAAAAGTATATATGTATACATATATAGAATCGCAAATTCTAGTCACAGCCTTTGTGACAGTCAAAGCGAAGACTAGAAGAAGATTACTATGCCGAGAGTAACTATCTCCGAATATTATTAGAAAATTTTAATAAGTAAGTAACTTTTTTTCCAGTTAGGGTCGATTAAAAGCGAAATGGATTTGCTATGGGCGCAATGCTCTGCTTCATTTTTGAAACCAATACCAAATTTATTACTACTTCTATTCTTTACATACACATACTTATATGTATCTATACCTATCAGATACATACTTATTCATATCATACACACGTTTCTTATGAAACTCATTTGACGCTAATAAAATGTAATTCCCCTTTTAGCAAAATTTCGAAACTTTTTTATGATTTGGTTCTTCATTTTATCTTATTTTTTGTTTATGTTTCTCTTTTGTTATTATAGTTTTTAGTTACGTTTATTTGATTTATGTTAAATGTGCATTTCAGCATTAAAATTTACACAATTTTTTATCTGATGCAGTAAAGTGCGCATAATGAGTCAAAAAGTACGCAGTGAGCTACTTTTCACAATTAAATTGAATTTATCTTTTGATTAGCACTGCACGTTTTCTTCGAAGACGCATTCCTACGGATAATGAAAAAGTTAATTAATGAGAATATTTTATTATTAAATATTTATGATGACAAAAACTCATATACTCCTATACAAACCATTTTAAAATAGCGAAAAAAGTAGAAAATAACACTGAAATATAATAAGCTCTTAAAGATAATTATAAATTAAAACAAAATGGTTGGTTCTAGTAATTTATATTACGACTATTATTACTTATGGAAGTATGGAGCGTGTGTCGATAGATTGTTAAATAAATAAATAACACTGGCTTAGGTTCCAATTAAGAATTTAATACTACGAGCAGGTGTTTTGCACTATCAGCGTTAATAACCGAACAGAAATTATTCTTTCTAACAATAATTAGTCAAAATGTTTTTGCTTAAGGACTTAATGATATTAGCCATGGATTAGCCATGGTATTAGCCATGGTAATGATATAAAATTTAACCAAACATCTCATCCTCTTCCAAGCAGAAATGACATTCTCTCTCCTCTAACAGTTTGGAAACCGTATGGCTCAAAATTTAGAAATGAAAATAAGGCGCTTAATTACTAAGTAAATATTCACAGAAATCTGACAGGAATCTAACAGGAATCTGACAGGAATCTGAAAAACAAAAAAATCACAACGATTCTGAGAAATAAAAATATGCTCTTTGTCCATCTAACAACTTTACTATTCTTTGGTATGCAACACCTGGTTGTAAAATGCAATTTCACAGTAAAGAATATAGTCATACTACTAGCGTAATTTTAGGTATTAAACCACAGCAATCAAGATACCCTGATTAAAGGGATCACAGTAAAGCATATAGTCATACTACTAGCGTAATTTTAGGTATTAAACCACAGCAATCAAGACACCCTGATTAAAGGGATCAACCTCAGCTAATCAGGACAGTCAAAGCCACGGGATCTGACCTCCTTGAAACCAGATTCGCACATCCTTTTCGGTATCATAAGTGAAACTCACTTATTACTATTTATACTCTAAACAGTATCGAGCCTATTGAAATTTAGGCGCCTCTTACGACAAGTATGCCTTAACTCGACAATATTTGAAACTCTTTCTTGCGGGTATAGTATAACGACAGAGCAGTCGGAGTTCATTTCATTAGTACTTAGGAATCTACAAATCGTTTTTCTACTCAATCCATAACGTTTACTAATCCACATTTACTACTTTTTAATTAATTACTACTTCCATCTGGTCATGAAACAAACAACCGTTGTAGAATTAAAACGACTAAGTGAGGAATATCAGTCCAAAGCATTTCTATTTAAAAAAAAAAACCAACCAACATGTCCAGGTGGTCAGTAAACCCGCAACATCTTTGGAGTTAAAAGTATTAAGTAAGGTCTATCGTTTCCAGCATCTCTAATCAAGAAATCTTAATCAATACTCATAAAACATATGTACATGAGCGCTTTTGTGAAGTCAAGAGTATTAAGTGAGAAGCACCACTCTAGAGCATCTATAATCAAATAATCAACCAATATGATCGACTGGTCATTAAACAAACAATTATTACGGGGTCAAAAGTGCATCCTACTACTTCATACATATAGAAAATGACTTCAAATTTACTTTTATGATTAAAAATCTATTTTTAAAGTTTTTATTATATAGTCACTCCGCTAAACTAAATATTTTGATAAATTATTAATACTCGGATAATCAGAATCGGCTGCTAATTAAAGTTGACAAATAAATGAATATAAGTTATACCTTGAAATCTTTATTGTAGATATTTATATAGGAACCCCGCCAAATGCTTTATTTACGCCAATGGTAAATAATGATGAATGAGGAAAAATTTGTTTCGCTATTTTGTTGACTGATATGAGCTCATTACCAGCACAAATGCAGACTTCCACGTTTATTTACTTATTTTGTTTGCGACTTGAGGCTAATATAGATTGTTTCATTAGTCAACCCAGAGCGTCGTCACCTCCACTCTTTCTCAGATTACTGATTTAATGCGGCAGGCACATGAGGAAGCGTCAAAGCGATTTCATGTGATAAGAAGCAACGTTAGGGGCAGCAACGGCAACATCGGCAACAACGGCAAAAATCGTACGCTTTAAG